GAAGTGCAGTGGCGTGATCTTGGCTCACTGCAACCTCCGACCCCCAGGTTCAAGCAATTCTCCTGCCTCAGCCTCCCGAGTAGCTGGGACTACAGGCGCACAACACCATGCCCAGCTAATTTTTGTATTTTTAGTAGAGATGGGGTTTCACCGTGTTGGCCAGGATGGTCTCAATCTTTTGACCTCTTTATCTGCCTGCCTTGGCCTCCCAAAGTGCTGGGATTACAGGTGTAAGCCACTGTGCCCGAACTGAAATTCTACTCTTAAGTAAACTGTCAGCCAGTGCCACATGCTAGATAAATCTTTTGTAAGAGGATGCAATCAATGTGGCAGACTTCATTGTTATGTATTTTAACAAATCACTGTAATCATCCCATCCTTTAGTACTTGCCACTCTGATCAGTCAGCAGCTGTCAACATTGAGGCAAGACCTTCCACTAGCAAAAAGATTATGACTCATTGAAGGCTCAGGTTATCTTGAGCGTTTTTTAAGCAATAAAGTATTTTTTGTTTTGTTACCTTTGAGAACAGGAGTCTCACTATGGTGTTCAGGCTGATCTTGCACTCCTGGGCTCAGGTGATTCTCTTGCCTCAGCGTACTACTGTCCCGACTTAGAAAATTAAGGTTTGTACATTGCTGTTTTAGACATGCTATTATATACTTAATAGACTGCAAACTTTTATATGCATTGGATAACCAAAAAATCTGTGTTACTTGCTTTATTGCAATATTTTCTTTACCATGATAGTCTAGAACCAAACATGCAGTGCCTCCAAGGTGTACCCATACATCATAGTTTTTCCTTTATAAGGTTCCTTGTGCCGTGGGCTAAATAAAAACTGTCTCTTCTGAATGCCTCAGGATTACTCTTGCCCGTGATTGCCTTCTGGGGACCTGTTGACATGCATGTTAGTTACGCTTTGGTTTTTATGGCATGATGGAAGGGGCAGTGGAGAAACTTTAATTTTTCAGGAGTATTTGTTAGTAATTTGGGGTAAATGAGTTTAAAAAAATGATACTTTGAAATTTCACTGTATTTTGTACTTGCAGATTACCACAATGCAGCTAGAACGTGAAAAGGCTCTTGAACATAAGAATCGAATGTCACGAATGCTTGAAGACAGAGATTTGTTCGTAATGCGACTCAAAGCTGCACGGCAGTCTGTTTACGAGGTAAACTTGCTGATTTTTTTAGGAAATGTTTATTCTTGAGCTTTCTAGTATTGCCTTAAGGGTTCTCCCTTAACAAATTCGTATATTCTGTCTTGACTTACTATGTATAATGGTCATTCAAGTAATAATAGGAATTTTTGGATAGTATTTCCTAAGCAAAACAATCACCTGAAGGAATTTTTCTAAAGGTGCAAGTTGAATACAAGTTTTTGTTTACTGTTTTTGTTAGAAATGAAAAAACTAGATCAAAATGTCCTGGGCTTAGGTTCTAATTAATGTTTGAATTTGTTTTGTATAAAGACAAACCCACTGGGTGTCAGTAATATCAACAATTTAAATTTTTTAAAATTTGGCCTGCTGACAAGTTAATGGTCTTTGAGAAATTAGAGTTTTTGTGCTGAGAGGTTGCTTTCGATGATTTTAGTACATTTGAGAGTCTTTTGTAAATGTAATAGCTTTCTGCCTCTTTATTGCTTTTGACGAAATCTGACCTTTTTGGGTTGGGGGTGACTTCGATTGCAGGAAAAACTTAAACAGTTTGAAGAGCGATTAGCAGAAGAAAGGCATAATCGATTGGAAGAACGGAAAAGGCAACGTAAAGAAGAACGAAGAATCACTTACTATAGAGAAAAAGAAGAGGAGGAGCAGAGAAGGGCAGAAGAGCAAATGCTGAAAGGTACATAGGTAGAACAGGATTGGAAGGGTACCTGTGCGAAGTTTGTGTTAGATCTAGTTTTTATGTAGAAAATACAGGAATCAAGGTAATTGGCCTGTTAGCACTGTAATTAACTGGTTCTCAGAACCCAGTTTGCTACCCAGTTGTTACATCCTCTACCAACATTTCCCCACGCATTTGATGTTCTTTTAAAAATTAATCTTTTTTTAATCACTATATTCTGTGTATTAACATTTACTGAAGAATACATTCCAGATGATGTTTGTCAAATGATGCTATATCTGGAATCCCAGATTGCTTAGGAATGGGGGAAGGATTCTGTAGTATCTTATTACAAAACTATAGTTGAAGGCTGTAGCACTAGTTTGTTGACTATATTCTGTCATGTAGCTGATGGCAAACTATTTTCAAATTCCTTTAGTTGTACATTATGTTACCTGTTTTAGCACCAGGAAAGTAGAACTAGCAGTATGGGGAAGATGTGGCTGGGAAGCATACTTAGTAACCTACTCAATGGTCTAGAGCGTGAAGAGAGAGAGCGCGCCGAACGAGTGAAACGTGAGGAAGAGCTACGAGAGTATCAGGAGCGGGTGAAGAAATTAGAAGAAGTGGAAAGGAAAAAACGCCAAAGGGAGTTGGAAATTGAAGAACGAGAACGTCGTAGAGAGGAAGAGAGAAGACTTGGCGATAGTTCACTTTCTAGAAAGGTGAGTATAGGATTTATTGATTTTATGTTGTTTTAATATGTGTGTGTGTGTGTGTGTGTGTGTGTGTGTGTGTGTTGAGATGCAGTCTCACTCTGTCACCCTGGTTGCCCAGGTTGCAGTGCAGTGGTGTGATCTCAGCCCTTGGCTTCAAGTGATTCTTGAATGTGTCTCAGCCTCCTGAGCAGCTGAGATTACATGCCTGGCTGCTTTTTGTAATTGTGGTGTTTTTTTTTTTTTTTTTTTTTAATTTTTTTTTAAAGACGGGGTTTCACCATGTTGGTCAGGCCGATCTTGAACTCCTGACCTCAGATGATCCGCCCGCCTTGGCCTCCAAAGTGCTTGGATTATAGGCGTGAGCCACTACGCCCGGCCAATCGTGATGTATTTTTATCAGCCAGCTCTCTTGCAGGCTACCTATATAAATATATTTAAATCAGCCATTTTCACATCTTTTTTTTTTTTCTGAGATGAAGTCTTGCTTCATTGCCCAGGCTGGAGTGCAGTGGTGTGATCTCAATCTTAGCTCCCTGTAACCTCCGCTGCCCGAGTTCAAGCCATTCTCCTTCCTCAGCCTCCTGAGTAGCTGGGATTATAGGCACCCACCACCATGCCTGGCTAGTTTTTGTGTTTTTAGTAGAGATGAGGTTTCACCACGTTGGCCAGGTTGGTCTCGAACTGTATTCTCCACTTCCTGGCTTCAAACAATTCTCCTGCCTTAGCATCTGGAATAGCTGGGATTACAGGCAGCTGCCACCAAGCCCAGCTAATGTTTGTATTTTTGTAGAGACGGGGTTTCACCATGTTGGCCAGACTGGTCTTGAGCTCCTGACCTCAGGTGATTCCGCCCACCTCGACCTCCCAAAGGGCTAGGATTACAGGTGTGAGTGAGCCACAGTGCCTGGCCAAAGTATGTAATTTAACAGGATTCCTAGGTGATTTAAACTGAGCTCTAAATAATGATTTTTAATTGTACTCAGGTCCAAAATGAACCTGTGTTTCCTTCTCTGTCTTGTGCCTTTGGAATTCCCTCTCCTGATTCACTGATCAGGTGAATCGTACCTACTTAGTCACAGCTTTGAACTTACTCCTTCTGTTTTTTTTTTTTTTTTTTTTTTTTTAATTTTTTTTTCTTTTTTTTTAATTTTTCCTACATTACTGCCTTAATTCAAATTTTTCTTGCCTGCAGTACTTGTTGACCTACTTACTAGTCTAACTCATTATTTTCCTCCAGCTTCAGACCTTCCTCTACATTGTGGCCTGCTTATTTATTTTAAAAATAATATAGCATGTTTGATCACTATGCCTGCTATTTGGGTTTCAGACCTTTCATTAGTTGGTATTCATGACTGAGAAGCAAAGGTTTTAAAACATGCCTTAGCAGTCTTCTATGTTGCTGTGGTTTTCATCAGTTTCATCTGACACTATTTTCTTCTTAGTCACCTGTGTGCCAGTCATTGGAGAGCAAGGTTTTTGCTTTATTCTGTGTGTGTGGCATCTGTCTGCATGCTCTTTCTTTTGCTTGGGAGGTGCCCTTTTTGCCCCTTAAAGTATTGCTTGCTTGCTTTTTACTCAAAAAGCTCAAGAATGTCTTTCATGTCTTTTCTCTGCTCCTCTATTTTTGCCACACCTATATCAAATGCTTATCTGTATGCCTGGACTTGATACTAGTTATCTATGTAGTTTTCAGTTTATGTTACTCTTATTGCTAATTTGTAGTTTTAATTCCTTGGTATTCAGTAAATGTGGTTTGATTTACAGGCTTTTGGAATTTAAAAATACATTTTCCCTTGTGTTCTAAAATCATGATCAGATTTCAATGAATGTTCTTTTTCTGTTGGGCACAAAGTTTTATCTGTGCATGAAATCAGAGCTGTTTTGTTTAAATCTGCCACGTCTTGTTAGTTTATGGGAATGTCTTCTGAGGAGCGTGAGGAGGCTTCCCTTCTGAGATTAGCTTTTGGTTTTTCTTTTTTTTCTTTTTGAGACAGAGTCTCACTGCGCCTAGCTAGAGTGCAGTGGTCCGATCTCAGCTCACTGCAACCTCCGCCCCCAGGTTCAAGCGATTCTTCTGCCTCAGCCTCCCAAGTAGCTGGGGCTACAGGCATGCACCACCACACCTAGCTAATTTTTGTATTTTTAGTAGAGATGGGATTTCACCATGTTGGTCAGGAGGTTCTCCATCTCCTGACCTTGTGATCTGCCTGCCTCGGCCTCCGGAAGTGCTGGTATTACAGGCGTGAGCCACTGTGCCCCGCCCTGAGATTAGCTTTTGCTTTTAGTTTGCATTTGCAAATGTGTCCACCCTCTTGTACATTTTCAACCTCTTATTTCTGTTGTATGCACCCCCTACACCTTCCCTTTTAATTGGGAGAGTTTAGTTTAATTTATTTGCATTTAATGCGGTAACTAGTATATTTGATTTTATTCCTAACAGTTGCTTTAGAGTTTTTTATTTGCTTCTGTGTCCCTGGCACCCCTTTCTTTTTCTTGTTTGTTTGTTTGTTTTGTTTTGTTTTTTAAAGATGGGGTGTCACCATATTGATCAGGCTGGTCTCGAACTCCTGACCTCAGGTGAGCCACCCACCTCAGCCTCCCAAAGTTCTGGGTTTACAGGCGCGTCTATATTAGCAAACATATTTAGTTTCAAGTATGTTTGTACTGCATGTTTCCCCCTTTGTGAGTACTTTTTGGTTTCTTTGATAAATTTTTTTCAGCATGTCTGCCTATGTCTCAAAAGTTTTTTTCTCTCACCATTTAACAATGAATGGTTCATTGTTTGACTGGTTCAAAAATCATCATCTCAGAAATTTATAGACCTTTGCTTCTTTTTTAAGTACACAGTGTTACAGAAGGGAGGATTTTTGATACTAGCCTTGGTCTTACTAGTTATGTAGATACTGTTTTATTCCTTGGAAACAGAATTTTTCTCTATTTTTGTGGTAAAGGAAGTTAAAAAGTGCCGCTGAGAATGTGTTTAGAAACCTGAGTGTATGGCCATCTTTGTTTCTTTTTGGTCTTTTGCCCTTTTGGTCTAAGGAGTCAGTCTCCTTAGGGCAGACACAATCTTCATAATTTAAGGAAATTTTTCTTTTTCTCTGTTCTTGGTCTTTCAGAGTCCTCTTTTTTTTTTTTTTTTTTTTTTTTTTATTTTGAGACGGGGTTTCACCATGTTGGCCAGGCTGATCTCGAACTCCTGACCTCAAGTGATCCACCTGCCTCGGCCTCCCAAAGTGCTGGGATTATAGGTGTGAGCCACTGCGCCCGGCCTCAGAGTCCTCTTCTTTATCTCTTTAATTTTTGTTTTAATCGCTTCATCTCTTTGTTTATACCAGGTTCTCTGAGATCCTGGTTCAGTTTGTTTGCTCATCAACTGTGGGACCATTCTGCTCTTGAATCTGCTGGGCTGGGCACATTGGCTTATGCCTGTAATCTCAGCACTTTGGGAAGAGTGAGGCAGGCGGGCGGATCGCTTGAGCCTGGGAGTTTGAGACCAGTCTGGCAAAATAGTGAGACCCTGTCTCCACAAACAATACAAAAATGAGCTGGACATGGTGGTGCATGCCTGTAGTCCCAGCTGCTTGGCAGACTGAGGTGGGAGGATGGCTTGAGCCCAGGAGACAGAGTTATTTTTTCTTCTTTGTTTAATGGCTATAACAGCCATCCTTCAAAAGTCTTTGCAGGTTCTAATAGTTGTACTATATCCTCTGAAACCTTGAATTCTTTGTTGGGTATAAATTGCAAGACAGGTGTCAGGAGTTGGAGAAACTTGGCCTTCTGGCTGTATTTGCTCCCTCCATTGTGGTGCCCATAAATTCCTTTGACTGTTAGGTTTCCGTTTTCTCTCAAGGTGTTCACTTGGGAAAGTCTCTTAGAACAACCCCTACCTTAAGAGGTAGCCCAGAATCATTAGCTTGATCGTGACCTGTGATGACCTGGGACCAGCTTATTTTCTGGCCATTCTTGTCTTTCACTGCTTCTCTTTTTTTTTTTTTTT